AAACCTCTATTTTGGAGAAGATAGTTACTGACTAGCACTGCTCTCCCCTCTTAGCCACGGGCAGGGAAGAATCAATATCTTCTTCTTCTTCTTCTTCTTCTTCTTCTTCTACGTATGCTAATGGCTTCGTAACAATGTTGTATAAACAAATCCAATGTTTGCTCCATGGACACCTGCAACATCGACACGGCCTCTGAAAATCGTATTCCCTCCACCAGTCCAATATCCGCCTACTCTATTGTCGTTACCACATGCACATGAGGAAACTATTATGGATGTTGGAGCTGAACCGCTAAAGGCCAGAGTCAAACAACCCAGTATTTATTTTGCGAAGCAATAATTACTGGTTGATTCTACAAATGCCAAGTCCTGGATTGATGGTTTAGTAATGGTCTATTTTAGAAAAAGGAGCCACATCCAGCTATGCAAAATTTCTCCATTGGGCGAGCCACAATGAGCTTGCAACCCAGGGTTCCCTGTCATCTGTTGATGTGTATCTTGAATATCAATTCTGATGTGTATCTTGATGTGTATCTTGAATATCAATTCTGATGTGTATCTTGAATATCAATTCTGCAGCAGTCTCAAATTAATTGATGTTCATTTGAATTTCCCTTGGCAGATTAAATTATTGCTAGTAAGTAGCAAAAGAATCTGCACAATGCACCCGAAAAGCAATGCATATATATTTTGTACATATTAAGCTTATCAAAGTATCGAATAATCTTATTTCTGAGTAGAATCTGCTGTCCTTTTTCCTACGTTGTAGCAATGGTAGCTGGCGATCAATATGGAATGTAGAGTTTACAAATGACCTCCAAATGGTGGAAATGAGAGGGAGCATGCAGGTATTGTTTTGTTTTAAAACATATACTGCTGGCTTATATTCCCTCAGTTTGATTTTGTTCAAATGCCATATTTGTATTTTTGACATCATTTAAATTTATGGCTGGTCCCACAACAACCAATCCAGTCGTGGTCTGGGGCTCAAGGGTCAAAATGTACAAAACCTTACGAGTGGTGTGTCCCTTAGGCCCTTGATGCATTGATGCATTTACTACCCAAAACTTCATTGGAAGTTAGAGGGAAAGTTTAGTATGCAATTTTAATTTAGTTCCTTTACCTGAAAATAGTACATTGTCAAAATGTCTCTTCTAGCTATATTGGCCATGGATGAATGGATGCTTCCAAGTATATCTGTATCCAAATAAAAGAGCATGGTACTTTCTAAGACATTCTCATTATCATTTGCCTAAGGTTGGAGCGCACTACTTTGAAGAGGGAAATGTGCAGTTTGATGCAAACCATGACTGCAAGGATACAACACAAGTCCAGGCAAGGCCAAACTAATTTGAAAGAAGAGAAACCGACACTGATCTTGCACAAATCTTTTTCATTCCTCTTCATACATAAATTTGATTGTAATGCCGAACTAAAAAGGGGTTTTGGTATTCACCAGTTTGCGTGGAAGATTAAGATTGTAAGAGAAAATAGGAATACCTAATGCATAGGATACAAAAATTAATTGGAGGCCCAACTAAATCATGGTTAGAAAAAAAACTGACAAAATCTTTCAGAAAACTTCTTGCATTCATCATCTTATGCTATAATGATCAAAAAGGCCAAAGTAAACAGGAGAATATGTATTTGAGGAATTTGATAGGAAGAATAAGGATGGTAAGATTAAACATAAAGGGACTGCCTTATGCATCTATGAGATTATATAATAGATCATGTGTATGGTTTGGCCTTAGTTGATTGAATTCAGCTGACTTAATCTGTGCGAATTCAACTCACTTAATCTGTGCTGTTATTAGTCCCCAGATGATACTGCACTGTCCTTGGTACACATAATTAGACAGCATGAAACTGAGTATATGACATCTCTTCAGGTGTGTGAACCCTGCCTTCTTCTCTTTCTCTAATTCTCTTTTTGAGTATCTTCTGATGTATTCCTTCTCTGGCAGAAATCGTATCTGAATTTATCTGACACTACTTTCAAGGTAGTTCCTGAACTTTGCAAGCTCCCTCTATTCTGAAATAAACTTCACACTTTCCTCTATCTCTTGTCCCAAAATAAACTTCACATTTCACTCATTTCCTTTCACTGTTTACACTATGTTTGGTTCAAGGAATTTGAAAGGGAAAAGAAAAGAAAGTGAGAGGAACAAAATTCCATCCATTTTAGCTACAAAAAGGAATAAACCCTTTTCATTTCCTTTCCTCCTAATTCCTTGAACTAAACATAGTGTATATAGGAATAGCAAATTTGGTTCACAATCTTTCTCTTAAAGAGTTCTATTCACACCATTCTCACTTTTGAACGTGTCTATTAAACTCTGTGGAGTCAACTCGTAAAGTTTAATTTGGGATGAAGGGAATATATTTTTCCCACAATCTTTGTGCAATGGTCACATGAGATGCCACTGCAAACACCTTTACAAATGGTGAATTTAATTTGTGGTAATTCAGAATTTCTATATATAATAATGTATGCATTTCTACATTTGAGCATGATTTCTCCAACTCTGAAAATTGCAGGACCTCCGAAGAAAACTTCCAGTGACTCGAACATTATTCCCGTGGCATAATACTATGCAATTCTGCCTTGCCAGAGACATTTCCAAAGAACTTGGAACTGGAAAATAGAGACTTCATTTGATATTTACGCAAAATATGTTTGGGGCACGATGTTTTTTCTCCCCTCCCCCGCGCCCACACACGCACATACACCCTTTCGGTGTATTTCATATAGCTATTTGCATTATGTGCGCTTTGTTGGTGATCAAATGTGGGTTTTAATGGGGATATATGCAAAGGTCTCTTCTTCCTGAAAACTTGATTTATATTGGAGCCACCTCTAGTTTATCTGTAAACAACAATAATCAAAGTTAGGTATTGAGAACACATCAGATAAGTTATCAAGGTTGTGCTAGTTTCAACCTACAAGTAGCTTTCTCTCTAAACAATTCATTTTCAACCTTTTTCCAATTTGAAAGTGATTTTTATATTTAAAACAGTCCTTTTCATTACACACACATATATACACACATATGAAAAGAGCCTTCGGTTCCAATAGAAAACTAGTTTTGAAAAGATAAAATAACTAATTTCGGCCAAAAATGGAAGGATGTGATCAAACTGTTAAAACATAAATGCAGCGGTACGCTCGAAATACATTGAAATTTGAAGTAAGATTCGGTGACTAATAACAAGAGTCTGTTTTCTTCAATTAATTTTTATAATGTGCGGAGGATTATTTATTCTCATTGGAATAAGATCAAATTAAAAAGAAATTTAATTTTAACTAGAGTTAAACTAGATTAGAATAGAGTAGCGTTGAATAAATTTAAACCAGATGAGATGAAACAAAGAGGTACAAGTTGATCATACATGAATTTTGAGCTTCAAGAACGTGCTTCGGTTGGATTAAAATGTGTGCATAGATGAAAAGTCTATTTTTGTTCTTTAAAGTGGAAAATACTTAATCCTCGGCCCTAAAATTAACTTTTCCGTTTAACTTTTGGAGTCAAATTTTTTAAACTTTGACCTTACATTACAGAAAAATACAATAAATTTTCATATAAATTTGATAGCGGATGGAAAATGGGGTAGATTGAGGTTGGGAATTTCTTACTTTGTCTGATTTACATAACATAATATCACCAAATTAGTTTGTCCCATCTGCTCAATAACTCAAACATGTTCTAACTCAACGGTAGTACATTTATATGAAAAATCCAGTATGTTATAAATATGACTCACATCCTTGTATTCATGAAGTACTGCTTACTACCAAAAATAATTCCTCGAGCTTATTGAAAGTTGTTGGCCGCAAAATTTGAATAAAAAAGTGTTATGAAAAAGGATAGTTTGAAATGGATTGGTAAGCTTTCCTCAGAGAAATATTTTCCGACATGCAAGAATTTTTTTCCTAGAATAAAACGAGCCTTTTAGTGATTTGCCAGGATCAAAACTAACGAGAAAACTAAGAATAATTGTTGCCCGACGAGATAGGTTCTATCCAAAGATTAAAAACCAATCTTTTTCCATCTACACGTAAAACCATCACATTACATATAGATAATATACTCCATAGTACGTGTATACACAAAAGGAGAAGAGTCATTTTGAGCAAAAAAAACGGTGATTGATGTACATTTCAAGCCCCTTCATCATTACTCGATGGTTGATAATTTGTTCTTCCTGAAGAGTGACTTGGGGATTGGGGGGGGGGGGGGGG